GACCATGAATCAATCATAAACTCTAGAAGCCTGCCCCATGACTGCATGAGGCTTTGGGGGAACATGCAGACACAAACCATAAGAATCACGCACAATCTCTAGAGCTGAGAGAGAGAGAGAGAGAGAGAGAGAGAGAGAGAGAGCGAATGACCATTAGTTTAGTGTCATGGTCGTGTATCACTTGGCATCAAAGAGTACTCTTATTACCAGACATCCCTTGATTATCAAGTTAAAGTTTATGAGAAATGTTTCATACTCTTGTGGAACACACAAAAAACAAGTTACTTGCAATGCAAGGTTTTACCTTGATCTGAACTTTCTGTTCTGTAGCTAAGTACTATATTTGCAGATGTAAATTTTTACACTGTGTCCTTGAGATTCAAACACAAAATAATAAGTAATCACAAATATGTCCTGCAGAATCCAATTTTGCTTTTTTTCTGTAGAAAGATTGGTACCTAAATTCACTGGTGTCTTCTTTCTACATTCTCCAGGAAATTCTGTTTTTAATAATGTGGTAAACATTTCAGCTTTATTTTGCATATTCTGTTATGATACACTAGAAAATTGGCATCCTGTACTCATTCAGTCTTCTTCCTTGCTCCACATGAGCACATCTCAGAGGACACCTGAACCCCTGGGCTGAGTGTTCAGAGCTGAACCTCATGGACCCTCTCAGGAGCTGTGCTGTCTTACCTGTGTGGCCGCTGACCCTCATTTCTTTAGTCTGCTCTGTCCTCCTGGAGGAGCAAAGTGAGGCCCAGGTGAGGAATCTGCTTCCCCTGGAGATGCAGTCTCTGCAGGAGCCCAGAGCCCCTCCCTGCCCCCTCCTCACCATTTCCTTTCAAGGAGACGCTGTGCTGCCCTCAGCAGGGCTGCTCTCCTCCAGAGCTCAGCGCTGCAGCTTCCCCTCTTGCTCCTGGCTGCATTTTCCTCTCCCCACCTCCTTACCCGAGACCAGTCCTATAGCGTGACAGACAATGATATGTGGGAAGGTGAGGCATCCGTGCTGTGTGCACCGCCCTGCTGCATGCTGGGCTTTGTCCTGACCCAGTGCTTCTGCGAGGAGCAAGAAGCAAGGAGCCTGGGGTGGGAGAGTGGGAGGACACTGTGAGGTCTGCACGTCCTTCATTCTGAGGGCCCAGCTCCCCTGCAATGGAACCTTCACATCCACTTTGAGGAGGACCCCA